TTCAGCAGAATGCAGAAAAATAAAATTCACAGTTTCTGGTAGGTTGTTGTGATTATGAACTTGTCCTAAAGATTTGTCTGGATGATAGTGCGGTCTAGGAATGAGGTACTGAGATAACAGGAAAGTACCAAAATCCTCTGTGTAGAGAAAATCGTTTTCGACAAAATCTTCGTTGAAAAAGTCTACCTGTATTGCTTTTCGATTCTTGAAATTGCAGTAATGGAATCCTTAAAAAAAAAAATTTCAGGTGATGCCAGGACTGCTTCTGTGCTTCGTGATGCGCTACGATGCCTACAAGAGGGCGCAGTTGTTGCAGTCGCTGCAGCTGCAGGGAGTGGATGTCAAGTGTGGCATGGCGGCCACCGCCACTTTGCCGCCATTGTCTCGGATGTCCTATTTCCACTGCTCACTCATCGGATACTTCCTCGGCTTGCTCACAGCCACTGTGTCGTCGGAGGTGTTCAAGGCGGCGCAACCCGCGCTGCTCTATTTGGTGCCCTTCACGCTGCTCCCGCTGCTTACTATGGCTTACCTCAAGGTTTGCGACCATGGATGAATGGATTTTTGACCCCTTTCAAGAAGACGAGAGCGCTTCTTTCTTTCTTCCTTTTTTTCAATCATCACTGTATTCCATGGGTACCCGGTAAACCACGCAGGTTGAAAACGACGCAAGAAGGGCTTAAGCCTTCAAAATCTTCTCTGGCGCCCTTCTGAGGTTGGGGTCTACCGCCAGTCTTGCCAACAATATTTCAGTAAAAATTGGCGCTCCAGGTGCCTCAAAAATCTGGGGAATTTTTGAAGCTTTCCCTGGGAGGCTTTCTGGGTTCTCTTAAACACGTGAAACAATCTGTACCTGAAAATTTGTAATTCCCTATCCATCTACTTGTTCAAAGCAATTATACCTAAGCGCAAAGAATAATCACTTCCAGTCGGGAGTTCGAAGATTATTTCGGGGTGGGAGTGTCGTTCATATAATTTTTGGAAGCTCCGATGTCCTGATCCGTTTCCGAATATTTCCGAAAAAAAAAATTTTCAAGACACATACTGTTTTAAATGCAGTACTTTCTGTAGCCTTTAGGAAACGCGGGTGTCATTTCGTGTAGGCTTCTTGGGAATACTGAACTGACTGACGTAAAGTTTTTTTCTTGATTCTTTCAAGGCTGACCGAGTTGTTTCTCTTCGTGGAAATGACGTATTCACTATGCGAGACTAAAGGCCTAGTTTATCTTTAAAACTGTGCTCTGAACTCTGATGCAGCCGATGCTCGAAAAATTCTCGTTCGTGTTAGCTGCACTGGCAGAGAGTGGGGTCTTCGTTCAGTATTCGAACGTCTTGGATTTAAAAGTACAGGTCTCTAAAACTAAATTCAGGGGACCCGAAAAACATTTTTTGAGAATATTTGGTTATTGAGAATGACTTAAGCATAGGTGAAGACCCTGTGGGACTGAAAACACCTTGATACAGTAGCTAGAAAATCATAAAGATTACGCTACCTTTTCACTATTATAATTTGAGAGATTAAAAAAAATCAATGTTTTGAAGCTTAGAACAACACAAACAAGGCAAGTTTAGGTACAGTGTCATAACGCGGTATTCCGGTTATAGTGGACTGAACGAGCTAGAAATATTTGAAGACCATTTTTAGACAACTGTGTGAGATTACTTGACAAAAAAAAGGCCTTTTAGTTTTTTTTTGCTTCGTGTTCATGAAATCAGTTGAAAGCATGCGGAAGTGGGACAGCCCTCGAACAAATCACTTATACTTCATTTTTAATCCACCCTGTACATCATTTTAATAAAATGGTACACCAGACATTGGACTACTCTAATAAGGGCATTTTTTCCACGATGTACTCTCACCGCGGATAATTCTTTCCTTAGATGATCCATCCAAGCTAATTTGAATAATAGACTTCATATAGAAAGGGATTCTCCTTCTTAAAAGAAAGTACAAATTCCTGGGGAAGAATTGGCATAAAGTAAAGATTTTTACGTGGATAAAGTATCATTTTTCGGTATTCTTGATTGTGCTAGGCACTTTCCTCTTTGATTATTTTCTTTATTTAATGTATATTTCCTAATTATTCAATCGGGCTTTCACAAAAGAAACTGTCCAAGAGATCTGCAATTGAATAAGCCGTAGCCATGCCGCGTAATTTAACATTAATGCACTCAGTTTGGTGATCATGAAACTAGTCATCCATTCTACGTAAATTTGCATCACTTGGTGAATTAATTTCTGGAGAAATACGGTAAATTTCCGACTGATTAATTGCATAAACAGAGGCACCGCTGTACAGTACTTGTGATGTCCAGTGCATTCTAAGGGTTGGGTGCCATTGAAGCGTATCGTTTGCCACTACTCGGAGTTATTTTCTCATGTGTGATCGTCTTCCGTCAATATTTACAGGGGGATCTGAGACGCATGTGGAGCGAGCCGTTCATCACGCACCCGCCAGTAACGAAGCACCAAATAGTGTGAATCTCGTCATCAACACTCTTAATGAGAGCAGGGCATCGGTGTTCGTGGTCTTAGTTTTTTTTTTTTTGGTCTACTTCCCGGAAGAATTCCGAAAAGGAATTCCCTACGGAACTTACCACGCAGGTTTAAGGTGTGAGACCGGTTGCACTTGGGAGGCTTCCCGCACCTTCCTCTGGCTTCATCGTTGTGTGTGCATAACCTGCTCCACGTGAATCGATTTTGATATGTTGTCTCGTTTTACGTCGGGTCAGTGTTTCTTTTCGTTTTTCTTTTTTTTTTTTATAATTTCAAGAAGGGTTTTCCGGCAATGTGTGAAGAAAGAAGTCGCGAGGTGGGGGAAAAAGTGGCTGCTGCAGCAATCAAATTTGTTGAAATCTTTGGTACGTGTGCACCTTTTTAAAAGGCAGATTTTTGTGAAATCAAAATTTATCTCTGCTTCGTGTCGGAAATATTTCTAATTTTTGTACGAGTTTTTCATGGGGTGTGTTTTTTTTTCGTTACGAACGAATTCTGCGTCCTTCCGGAGCAATTCTCTTGCAGGTGATCCGCCTCTCGGATACGACTATCTTCTTGGCAGATTTTCGGAAAACCCCTCGTGTATCCCGAGAAACAAAGCAGTTCGGGAAAAAAATTGTGTGAATGTGCAAACAAAATGCAAATTTGTGATACTGGCAACGGTTGAATGTCGGAACAAGGTTGACAGGGATGCGCAAACTGATTTTTGTCTTCGTTGAAAAGCACTCGATTGACCTTTTTCTCTTTATTGTCTTTCTGGAATATGTTCAAGGGGGGAAATGATGGCGAGGAGTGTAGTTAGTTTGGGAAAGTAATACGATGCTCATAAAGGAATACAGGATCCCGTTGCCGCTGACTGTCAGCGAGTATAAGATCGCTCAGCTGTACATGATAGCGGTGAGTTATTTCTTTAATTTTCGGTGCGTGATATGCGTTTGAGAA